TTCTTGCTTTATTTTACTAGGACAGTTAATCGTTTCGTGTCATTTTTTGGCCTTTTTATTATTACAACGGTCTAAACGTGAATATAGTTTGTTGTTTTGTTCTCTTTTTCATTATAGTTTTAAAATAACTCGTTCACTTCAGAGTCCATAACTGTCAAAATACAAAATTTCTAGACGATATTTCTTACTTTCATTTTTTTCTGGGGCTGCGTGCCACAGCATTCTCTTACAAAACTTCTGGACTCATGCCTGTTGTTTTTTACTGTGTACTAGTGGGGCGAGCGTTATTGCTTGCTTTTATTAATATTGTAATTTAGCTGTGTAAGATGGGACTTGCACTTTTTTATCATGGTTACTATAGTCAAGAAGCATATTAATATAACACCATATAGTGATTCGGGTTACTAGTGCCGTATAAGGATTTTTGGGTGGAAAGGTTGTAGAAATATTTTTTCGCTGATTTCTTTAACATTTGAAAAGTAAAATTTTTTCACTAAATGAATATAATTTTGCAATTTGAAAAATTGCCAATTCAAAAACACTAAATTTGTTTACTTAAGATAAGCATTTGTCTTTATTAAGAGACGTTTTATGTTGTAAATTAAAGAATAGGGGGATTTTTTGCGTACTGGTAGTTTTTATTTTCGTTTTTTAGGTTGCATGGCTTCTCTCGGAATTTGCAGGTTTCCATGCCGCTTTAAGTTACCATGAGAATAGTATTGATTTATGCAAAATGATTGTGAAAAAGCAGTAAAAAGGCAAAAGCAACAAGTAGGAAATGTAAAAAGTGCATTCTGCAAAACGGATCAATAATTATTCGTTAAAAGAGACTATGCGAGTCTCTTCTTAGCCTTTGAAAACATTTCATAGCAATATCGATGACGTTGAAATAAGCTTTTAAGTGCGAGTTTTTTCTTGCTTCATAACTGGAAATATGTAAATAGCTACTTTGTCAGTGCAGTTTTTCTCACAGTATACTTCAGTTTTTTTTATTGTGTTTTGGTCATTTCTCTTTATTGAATTTTGGAAAGCGTAGGTGACACGTGCTGTTTGGAAATTCGCACCTTGGGCTGTTAGAAGTTCTGTTGTGTCTGCAGTTTACCGATTGAAGCTTACGTTTAGTTTGCAAAAGGAACATTATTTTGAATAAAACAAGGAGTTTTTTTTATCTTTTTTTTCACCAAATGAATATCAATCGTCATCCTCAATTCCTTAGTCAAGATATGTTCATTGTTTGATTGCAATAAAAAGAGTGTGTAGACCGATGCGGTCGATGGGTTCAGCACGGCATGCTTTTTTATTCTATTGATCGTTCAACTTTCAAACTTCTGTTTTTATTGACGCATTTGTTTATTTTGCGGCGGCGTTTTTTTCTTTCATTGAAAATATAGCGTTTTCAGGTTTAAGCTTTTATGTAACTCTTTCTTTATAAAATTTTTTTACTTTTTAGTAGAGTATTTTCTGTAAATTTTCAACCATATATGTTCTGCGTAAGATGTGTTGGTTGGTAGACTATTTGAAAGGACTTTTCTGTGTTATTTTACTGACGCTACTTATTGGCACTAGTTAGGTAAGTGTTGAAGTCTATTGATGTTATTGTAACTAAGTCCTTTTCTAGTTTGGTATGTCCGAATTAATTTTTTGGTTGTGTCACCTTAGAAAGTTCTCCAGAGATTAACTTGGATCCAGGAAGGATGTGATTCATTAGTTAAGGGTTTCTTGTTGATGAATTGGAACTAAGGTTATTAATAACTAGTTCTAAGGTGGGAATTATGCGTTAGGGGAAGAGTTGCTTTGAGTGGTTTATTATCTTATTCTGTTTAATGCTGTGATCTAAATCAAGTTTCCAGAGGAATTTCGTTAGCTTTGTTCGGCAATTGTTGGTAAATTTTAACAGCGTGTAAGTTGGGCTGGAAGAGAAACTCCCTTAAAATCTAATTTAAAAAAAGGGGGAAAATTCATTTCCAAGAGTTGAATCTTGTCTGTCAAAATGTGTCAGTTGAGACGTATTTTAACTGAAGTGCAGCAAATAATTTCATAAATATAGGTGAGAAGTACATTTTTTGTTGTTGGAAAATTGAGGGACTCTGTGGTGGTGAGGAAAATTTCTGATTTTATGAATATTTGCTTGTCAGTCACGTGTTGTGCACATGTATCGTCACTGTTTTTTATTTTTTTATTTTATTTTATTTATTTTGGGTATTCTTATTTTAGCTCAAGTACCATATGGAATGAACAGTATTTCCTGTCTCACCATTATTTTTAATTTTTTTTCTACATTTTCGACTAGTTTTTAATTTTATATTTACTTTGAAGATCAATTATACATGTTCATTCTGTTTTTGTTCCTAACTTGAGTAATTTCTTTCCATTCCTCGATTTTCGCCAGTTGTGGTCATGACTATTTAAAATACTTTCCCCTTGGTTGCCTAACAATTATGAGCCTTTCTTTGAGCCGTTATCAAATTTGTAGTTTAAAGAAACGTATAAGAAGCAGTATGGTTTTGTAATTAGAAAATTTTATTTACTGATGAATGTACCATTTTACAGGGAGCCGATTTGCTAGCAAAAGGTCTTACAAAGCTGGGTTTTGCACCTTGCGTTTTGCATGGTGGCAAGGGCCAAGACGCTCGAGAGTATTCTCTTGCTGCTTTGAAAGACGGTACTAAGGATATTTTAGTGGCTACCGATGTTGCTGGTAGAGGGATTGATATTAAGGATGTATCTCTCGTGCTCAATTACGACATGGCTAAATCTATCGAAGATTACACGCATAGGATCGGTCGAACTGGTTAGTTCTTAGTGCTCTATTGACAGCAATTTTAATTCTTTAAGGAATTTTTGCTGGATCAAGTTTCCAACAGGGTTCTTGTAAAAAGAGGTCAATGGCAAATGTGGATTACAGCTATTTTTTTGCTCTTCATTTGTGGGCATCTTTTTTACTAGTTTTCAGATTTAGATGTTATTTAGCTTTTCAGAATTGGTTGTAGAGTTGAATGCTGAGAATTTTAAATTTTTTATTTCAAAGGCGGTATTTTCTGCTTTTCAAAAAAATTGGTGGAAATCCGTGTTTTTTTTGTCAGACGCATCTGCATCTTAACGGTGTTAATTGGAACGATTAATTATTGATGGCTTTCCCTAGTTTTGCAAGTTTTCATTCCTCACTCTACTTCATCGATGAATTTGATTTAGGTCGAGCCGGTAAACATGGAAAAGCTATTACATTTTTGACGCCTGAAGACAAGGATGTTTTTTATGATCTCAAGCAATGCTTACTTGAAAGTCCCGTTTCTACTTGTCCACCAGAGTTAGCTAACCACCCTGACGCTCAACAAAAGCCGGGAACGTTTGTGATTAAAAAACGACAGGAGGAGACTCTCTATCGTAACTAAAGATTTATTGGTCATCTTTCTAACATCAGTTTTAAAAGCAGTAAAGGGCTAAAAGTTGCATTATTAAGGTTTACTTTTGATTCAGAAAGTCTATGTTGTTGTTTTTTGACTGTTTGTACCATAAAACGTTGTTGTTTCGTATAATAAATGCGATAAAAGAATTTTTCCTCTTCGTTTTTGTGCTGTTTTGCTGCGTTTTGAATGTCGCAGTAGCCAAATTATTTTTGATTATTTTGAAGAGCAAATCTACTGTGAACGTTTTT